GATTAGAGCATTATGAATGAAGAACAGTTCACAGCAGGATGAGGATCTGCACATTGACTTCCTGTAAGAGAAGCACAGGCAGTCAATCAGGTGGAGCGAATGTTAATGTAAACTATTGTGAACGCCACATATGAAACAACCACCTACGTCCCACCTGTGTCCCACCTGTGTCCACCTGAGTAACACCTAAGTAACACCTGAGTCCACTGTGAGTAAACCGTTCTACAATGATGGTCTCTGCATTGATCTGCTGGTTCCACTCACAACTCGTCCTCTCAGCTGATCAGCTGATCAGCCAAAATGGCCGTTTGTCATATTGAGGACACACCTGTCACTGACAAGCTTAGACACACCGTCTGGACCCGGATCAACCACAACATGAAACTCTTAAATTCCTTCCAGCTGATATTCATCCAAATCTCATCTGAGAACAAAAGTGTTTTCAGGCTCATTCTGAGGAAACACCCTGAAACAGATTCAGTTAACTCACCAGCACGTTGCCAGATACTCAGATCGTCATGTCATAATCATTACTGTCATCCTGAGGGACTTTATTCTGAAGAACATGTTCCATTGACTTTAATGTATGTTAGTGAGGAACATCACGGTTAATCAGCTGCTTCAGTATTTGTCCACATACTTTTGGCCACACCAGATATTATAGGTCAAAACACATGTTGAAAATGGGGTAAAATTAGTTAAAAACTAAATGGAGTTTGGTGAAATGGTAAGTCATAAACAAAACATTTTGTTGACTTATTATACTATAAACTCATTATAACAGTTATACACCTTTATCTGTTTGACTGTTTATATTTTTTGCAAATCTGTAAAAAAAAAATTTCAGATTTCCCTAAAATTTGGTAAAAACTGAATGTAGTTTGGTGTAGAAATGCTAACTTATAAAAAAAAAAAGCAAATCTTTGCAAACAAACTTTTGGCCATGTAGCAAACCAGATATTACACCTCTATCGGTTTGATTAAATCTAATGGGTAATACATGTTGACACAGTTCAGTAAAATTAGGTAAAAACTGAATAGAGTTTGGTGGAAAGATGCTAATGTTTAAAACAAGGCATCTTTGAACATTGGACACTTTTGGCCATGTAACACACCAGATATTAAACCTTATATACATACAGATCACACCACCAACTAAATTAGGTAAAAACTGAATGGAGTTTGGTGCAGAAATGCAACCTTTAAAAAAACGTCGTGCAATGTGCAGAAACCCTCCATTGTGTGATCGGTTGACGACAGCAGACTGACAGCAGATTGACGCACTGGTGTGTGTGTGTGAAACCTGCACCAGCTAAAGGCAAAATTAAGATGTGTTATAAACTGACTAACTGTAATTAGAATAATTAAAATCAATAACTCACACAGTGAATTAATCAGATAATTACTGTTATTGATCGCCTGAAGCATTTTAAATAAGCCAATATAATAATATAATAGATTATATATATTATATAATAATATATAATAATATAATAACTCTATAATTCCAAAGAAAACTCTTTCTAAGCAGAAAACAAACTGCCACACATCAGGATATTGATTGATGATCAATCTGCTGTTGTTGTGTGTGATTATTGATTAGCAGTGTACAGGTGAGTGATTTATCCACGTGTGTGTCCTGCTGCCTGATACTGTCAGAATCAATCATATTCATTGATCGGTGGTAAATGGTAAATGGGCTTTCTATACTTTCTAGTCTTTCTTGTGCTGTACACTACAGCCACACTCAACTCAACATACACTGATAGCAGAACGGACACTCAGCATTCACACAGTCACACACTGAAGATACTCAAAGAAAATACATCACAATAAGCAAACATACCAATGTAGGCGTTAGAGGACCGATTCTACTGCATTAATGTTATTTTTTAATTGTATTGTTGTTAATAAAAATCAGCTGAAGGTTATTCTGGCTTCATTTTTGTACAGTCGGAGGAAAAAGAGACGTTTATATGTCGATGGTTTCTATCCAGTAAAGCAAAACGGCCCCAAAATACACCAAAAATATAGATACCACATCTTCATCTGTTTGACTGAATCTTTTTATTTATAAAACATATTGACAGATTTCACTAAAATGAGGTAAAACCTGAATGGAGTTTGGTGGTATATATTTAAAAAAACGAAAACATTGCGACTTCCTGGAGGGACTGACAACTGGTGAATGAATAATTGAGTTGTTTATTGTATCAAAGTATTTTATTCTCTTGTCGATAAAAACAGCAGATTGTCAGCAGGGTGATGCAAAAACACTAAAATACCCGTCTGAAGCACACAAAGGGTTTGAATCCCAGACTCAGGTGTCACCGTCCTGCACTTTGTACGCCAACCTGCCCCCAACTCCACTGAGCTTATAGAGCTTTAATGTGTAAAAAGAGATGAACATAAGTAGTTTGCCACCACCGGAGCTCCAAACACTCAAAGACGTGTTTTAGACTCTAACTCGACTGCCGGCTGCATTTTACTTGAGGACAAAGAACAGCAGCCGCAGGTAAGAAGCATCTTGACTTTTCCTTTTATGGTAAAAATGTGCAGCCGGAGGTCTGGAGCAGAGGAGTGGGCAGGTTGGAACAAAACACACGGAGCTGCACAGAGAGAAATAATCAGCAGGAAGACAGAGAGTGAATGTAGTCCAGAGTTTAAAGTACAGGAAGCGCTGTCTTATTCAGCTACTTTTGTTAAATAAATCATATCTGTTGACAGATTTCACTAATAAATGAATGGAGATTGGTGGGAAAATGGCAATTTCTAAACAACAACAATATTAAATGTTTTAAATCCTGATGTGTGCAGTTTGTGTGTGTGTGTGTGTGTGTAGTTGTGTGTGTGTGCGTGTCGAGAGGTTTTTAAAAGAAACTTTATTGTACAGAAAAGGTCTCTGTGTCAGTGACAGTTTGACAAGGAATGAGTGATGATGGGTGATAAGGAGAGGATTTACGAGGAGAGAGATAATTAAAGGAAACTCAAAGAATTCAGGTCACACCCTGAAGAGGAGGGAGAGCAGGAATGATCTTGGTCGAGACAGATGACCACCCACCTAGAGCCGAAGGGTCTGTCCGAGGTTTCTGCCTGTTAA